TCACAGCTCCGCTAATGAAAGGGCAAACGAATGAAATTTTAACGAGCCCACGAAGGAGCAGGAGAGTCCTGCGGCAGGACCTCCTGGGTTGATTGTCCCTAAAAGGTGATAACGCCGCCATCAGTCCGCCCTACAAGCCCCTTCCCAGGGTTGCGTAACGAATGGGATCAGGAGTTTATATACCTTTGTCGATTATTAACGTCTTTTTAGCGTTTGGGCCTGGGAAATATATCCTAATACATTCCTTTTGCCTGGTGAAGGGTAGAAAAAGAAAAAGTCTTAAGAAAGCTGGTAATTTATGCATTACTTCCTAGAAAAAAAATTTAAAATTTCAAAAAATATTAAGGAATTGCTCATTAAATCCAGTTACAGAGGACAGTCAAGGAGTCCGAAATATAGATACACAGAGAAAAAAAAATACCAAAACTGGTCATCAATCGGGTATTTTTTCATATCAATTTTGATCCCTTATGTTGCCATATCATATTCATATTTTCGAACATATGACATTGATATTTTCAAACATGTCAATTTGGTATTTTTCATACCAGATTGATATGAGCACATATCAAAGTTGTGACCAAATTGTGGTATTTTTTAATATCCAACTGATATGCTTTCATATCAAACTGATATGCTTTCATATCAAACTGATATGCTTTCACATCAAACTGATATGCTTTCATATCAATCTGATATTTTTTTGTATCAATTTGACATTTCTTTTATTTTAACATGTTATGTTTTTCCATATCAAATTTATACTTTTTCATATTTTATCATATAAATTTGTACTTTTAATCATTTTAACACGTTATGTTTTTCTATATTAAACTGGTATTCTTTCATATCAAACTGATATTTTGTCAAATCAATTCGACACTTAACTCATACCCAGAGAAACAAATTTGTAGTTTTATTTAAAATTTATTTTCTAGATTAACGTATAGAACCACAAAAATAAATTATATAAACACTGATTAAAGTTAATAATATTTAAGCTAGAAACCATTAGTTAGAACTAATAATGTCACCTTTTCTTTATATGTTGGTGTCGTATCCCCTGCGCAGACATCAATGTGCTAAAATTTGAAATTATTACAACCTATTATGAAAATATTAAAAATTAAACTTACTTGTGCTCGCTTCCATTTTTGGAGCTTCTCGCGGAACTCAGATTTCAGACGAAGATGTTCTCTCTTGGAAAATATTAAATCAAGATCTGAAGCACTAATGTACTGCAGCCTTTCGTAGTTGTATCCACACTCTAGGAATATATTGCAAAAATAAGTCTCAACTAATAATGGCTTACACATGTATATATATATATATATATATATGTGCAAATATGTTGATTTATAAAAACCTAAAAGCAGGTCAAGCACAACCAAATCGACCTCGAGGTCCGTAAGGAATTGAAGCAAAAGTGGATCCTCCATGGTACTTCGACAAACTAATGCACAAATAAAGTAATTTAGTTAAAATTATACATACTTACCAAGTAATTACATTTATAAACACCTTAAACTTTTCTTTTGTCACGTTTTACACTAAAATTGACGCAGTAAATAAAAGTGGGACCACCGCATACAAAGCGTAATTATATCGTTGTACTCAGAATATACACAAAAATGACGAATTTACAGTCATACTTTTCGATGTTACGTTTGATATGAAATCTTATCAACTTGCTAAGTATTCATATCATTATGATACGGATTCATATTAACATTTAAAGTTGATATGATTTCGTATCATATTGATATGAATTCGAATCATTTTGATATGAAAAAATTGATATGTGAAAATTGAGGAGACAATATCAAACGGGTATTGTTCCGTTTTTTTCTCTGTGTAGGCCCTTACTTAAATCATTATATGTTTATCAATTTTATTTAATATAATATTGTCGTTCCTAACTTTATAATATAAGACTTATCAAATAAAACTCATTATGGGAAAATATCAACCATTTGGCTAGTTAATAATAATATACTATATAGTATAAGTATAGTACAGTTTAAGTTTAACCATAAGGATTTTACCAAACCTTTTATTCCATTTTAATGTCCCAGTTCCTACTAAATTGCCCCGTATTATGCACTTCAGTCGAAGTAATCAGCTAAATTATAAATGATTTGAGTCCAAAAGGATAATGTTACTTTAATTCCCATTAAGTTAGTTTGTCATTGATATCAAACCAAACCGAACTCATAGCTGATTCAAGGCAGGTCCCATCCAGCTCCTTAAGGAACCTGACTCCCACAACAAAACTTTGACTATCTAGCCGCATAATGTGAGGTAACTCACACCAGCCGACATTAGCAACTTCTCCAGCTCATTATCATAGCTCGTCTCGGAGGTTGGGTTTCCCGTCATCGCGACGACATCCATCAGCTTCAGCGTAATCATTACCGACATATGTTACTGGAAACTTATCTCCCGACTCGCACCGCCGACTGAAAATTATCACACTTGGGATTAGCTGGAAGAGCGTTTAGCGTTGTAACACCAGCTCGAAGAAGGAAAACTTCCGCCCGGCGGCGTAAATCTTTGGCAAACATTTGTCCAACACCTACGCAACAAAAGACCGTATGCAGATGTCGCCGTCTTGAATATATATTTATTTATAAGCGAGGCCTGCGATAAGGATGCTGCTAAAGTCCTGATCCCGACAATTTGTATCCACCCAGATAAGAGGATGCGCGACGAGGTGTTAGTTCCTTCGGCCTGCGGTTGCTCTGCGGCATGGCTGGGGTGTGATATTTGACAGTCCAAAATGATAAGAATTATTTACATTTTTTTTTTAATGGGTGCTCTGGTATGTGCCGCTCATTCTTCACGCGGTAATTTTTCTCATTAAAAGTTGCGGCCGCCAGTGAAAATTGTTGTCATTTAAAACATTTTTTTCGGGTTCCCTGGTCTCAATGTGTGTGTGTGTGGGGGCCAGCGGCAAATAATTACCAGGACGTTTAAGCCACTCAGCCGAGCGTTGTGAAAATTCATAATATCCAGCACTCAGCCTCTGAGAGGGATTTTTTTTTTCGGTTGCTGAATGGCTGTTCCGGGCACTTGCGGGTGGCATTTTGCGCATAAATCCTTTCATTCCGTTGGGTTCAGACTCAGACACAAAAAAATGGTGGAATATATACGTACGTACGTATAATGGGAGAAAGGATGTGTTTGCTCGTGGGTTATTGTTTGGCACACTCGCACAGGGATAGAGAGGAGGGTACATAATTAAGCTGTCGAGGATTATTTTGATGTGTCACAGGACGACATCATCAGGCAGCGGCAGCTGATGATAGCCGGAGGTCCTTTGGGGGGACCCTCCAACCTCATTTAAGCCAACTTTTGTTTGCTGAGAAGTCCAACAGCTGAACATTCAAAACGAAATGAAATTTCAGGGAAATGGAGTTGGGAGGTGGACATTCTCGCGATCATTTCATGGAATTTAATCTTTCTTGTTTTCTGTTGAGGTGTTAGTTGCTGAGGCTACTTTAAGGCAAGTTCCTAAGACCATCAGCCGAATCGGTCGTAAAGATCGGGCTCAGACAAAGCTTACCAAATCAATAACAATTTTTCACAACTTCTCTTCTTCGCAGCTAAATAACAAATTTCCCCCTTTGTTACAACAAACAAAGAGTTCTTCCGATGGGCCAAAGAATGATATTTATGTTGTCGTTTATGTAAAAACCACAAATGGAAAAAGACGAGCGCCCCAACATGCGTGTAAATTATAATGCGAATCAAGCAAAGTGACTGAGAAGTTGGCTGCGGAGCGTAAATTAAATAATTCCTTTGTTGGCACCCGTGCGGCATTTGCATAAGACGCATAAAAGACGAATTCTGTCAGCGGGAAGCCCGAAAAAACCAGTCCAAAGACCCAACCTTAGACACTCCGACGACCTATTGAACCCCGCCCGGGGTTGAGTGAAAGACTTGGGCTCAGCCCAGCTTAGAGCTGTTTAAATTTCATTAGCTGGAGGAAAGAAAGAGCCCAAACTGAAATGAACCACGCCGAACCCATTGGAAATGCTAATGAAGGAGTGTCTTTGGGGAGCCAACTACTACCTGGTCACCTGGTCACCTGCCAAATGCAAGGCAACACTTTTGTCACCTTCCGCCGGCCGACAAAGAATCTTTGCTTTTTTTTTCCAACCGGTCAGGATCGAAATGCACACGCATCCGTAATGAGTTTGGCCCGGGGCCAAGTCAGCACTACTTTGATTTCGAATTAAATGTTAATAAGTTCAACTCTTTGGCACTCTTAGGATCGCACTCGACCCGATTGTTTGGCTTTCCCTCGAGGGCGGAAATGTGGCCACCATTTAAATGCTAAGCAGGCGGGCGAAGGGCACCACTCTGTCTCGGAATGTTACGAGTTTATACTCGTAAAATCGGATAAATTATTCCAGTGCCTGAAATGTGCACTCTATAGTTTCCGGCTTTCGAGCGGATGAAAAGCCCATATAGATAAGAGCTATGAAAAATCGAAGATCTCTTTTCTAGCTGTCTAAATATTTGTGGAGCAGCTTGGATTTCATTCAAAGTTTTCATTTCTCTTACTAGATTTGTTGGGGCTGTAAAGATCGTTTTATGCTGGGGAAAAAGTCGTTAAATTGAAAACCAATCGTTAGCTTACCTAAAGAAATCTGACTTCCAAGGAAGTTTAGAAAACAGCTTAGCATCTGTTGTAATAAATGTGGTTGGTCTTTATTCTGGGAAACATAAACCTATTTATTGAGTGGTAAATAGAATGACTCATACAGGCAATAATACATTGGAATTTCTTAAGATGTCTATTTTATCAAAATACAAATTATAGGATAGCTTTTTCTTTTCTTTATAGAGAAAACTTTGTTAAAACTTAAAGGAAATTAGGAAAATTACGCTCTAAGAGATAATATATATTATATATACCAAAATGCTATTATATAGGTGTATCTTGCTCGTCAAACTAAGGGGATACCCTTAAAAATACCTCTATAGTTTCTTACCCTTCTTCAGAACCACTTAACCTTGGAGTCCAGACTAGGTTAACGATTCCCCTCAGTTATGATGGATCTAAGACAGTTCCGACTGCCCAATACTAACTGTTCTGCATGCCAATCTAAATGGTCTGCAATTTTTTCAGCAGCAACCTACTCGGACACAAAGTCGAGCGAATAATCACTGTTCTCGGGAGGCGAATCCAACTCCAATTACATTTAAATGCCATGAAATGGTATTTGATTTGGTTTATTTCGTCTTGTTTGTGCACAACCCATAATTACCAACAATTGTCAGTTGCCTGTGTACTTCTCACCGCCGATTATATATTTATATATATCCAGAGGATGGGAGGTGGATGCGTGCTGGAAAATTATACCTTGGCCCATTAGGGCACCGAAATCCAAAGTTTAGACTCGATTTGTTGGCATTTGAAGGAATTCAAAGTCAAATGACATTTGTCACGCAAGCCATCAACCTTTTTCTTTCGACTCAAATGCAGACGAGGCCGATTAACTTTGATTTGGTATTGAACTTCTTGTGAGGAGGGCTTAATTATATGTCCAAGGACCTAAGGAACCTGCTTCGTTGATTTTAATAACTTTTTAGCCGCTGCGCAAAAACTCACAGGGCAAAAGCGAAAAGTTCAAAGTTTCTGAGCTGCGTTTTATGCTCGGGCTCAAGGTAGATTTTAATTTTTTTTTGTCGTCGGTCTTAGCTCATTAATCACAGGGCACAAAGGAGGAGACCAGGTCTCAATAAATGGAACTTTCCGAACCGAACCGAGAAAGCAGGCAAATATCGCAGCACCGGAGGAAGTCGTCGCCAGCATTCAAGTCTAACAAATCAACGTGCAATTTGCTCATTGAACTATGATCGCTTCGCCGCCAGCGAGAAGTAAAAAATTTAAGTTGAAAGTATTTTTCCTCCCTTTGCCACCAAATTTTTTTTGAAGGGGGCATGTGGGTGGGTGCGGCTTGCCAAACTTGATGACATAAAACTTCTGCCAGTGCTGCGTAAAGTTCGCTTTTCTGAGAAACTTCTGCGTGATTTATAACGCATGCAGGACTCGAGGGGCGAGCAGTCGAAGTGAAAAGCCGGCTGGGTGTGAGCCATAGCCATGGGTACCGAAGACACGTTTTCAATAAACTTTTCGCCTAGACATATTCATATTTTATGCATAAATTCACACAAACGACATTCGAAGCGGCCAGAGAAAGCTGCAATTGAAAAGGGAACTTCTCCAAGGCGCCGAGTGTCAGACAATTAGTGATCAAAGTGGCCAGAAGGCCAATTGTGGACTGTCTATGAGTAAGTGCCAAAGTTCCAAAGTTATCGAAGGACTAAGGGATTATAGAGTCCAAGAATTCATTTCTATTATACAAGAAATGAAGCATAAATAATAAACATTTGTCATAATTTTAAGGAAGTTAAGAACTAAGGAATAAAAAGACTAAGAACTCTTTTATGTTATGAAAAACATTAGACATAAAACAAAATTATTTGCATTTGTTTTAAGAAAGTATAAGATCTACAAAGTCGAAGAATTTATTAAAAAAATTTTAAATCATTTAAAACTATTTAAGAAAAGTATAATAATGTATTTCTATTATAAGAAACACCAAACATACAATAATGATTATATGTATATCCAATTAATATTATGGTTACTTTAAGGCCAAATCTTTATCTTGCAAAATCTAATTTTCTTTAAACCATACATTAAACAATACTATTATTATGTTCTAAAAAATATATATATTGAAGTCGCGAGTTTTAAGACTAAGTCAGCTGTAGAATTTAAGCAAAGTTCATATGAGGTCAGTTTTTCTATGGATGTTTCTACGTTGGAATCCTATCTACCTTGTTCCATCGCGATGCGTACCAATTCTGATAGGGGTAAGAACTCAAAAAGTCGATATATGGTCAGGGCTAGCGGCGCCCTTAATTCGCAGCCACACACGCCTTGGACAAACAAAAGACCCTTTTTTCATGTGCTGGCTCAAAAATCAGTTTCCACCTGCATCCTTTCGGGGGAATCGAGCGGCAACAGTATCGGTATTCAGTATCTCGAACCTTTTCGGCGATGAGGCAGGTATAAAACGCGTGCCCCGTCTGCCTCGATTAGCATTTGAAATCATTAGCCGGGCTCGGTGCTGGACTGGTTTTTCAGTTCTCTGGGTTCTGGGATCTGGGTTCTGGGTTCTGTGGCTGGTTTTTGGTACTCGTTCTGGTTGGCAAGGTGCATTCTGCATTATGGAACCGCAGCCGTGGTCGACCGACCAACATCATCATCGCTCACATCGTGGCATTTATCTGGCATTGTGCATCTTCTTTTCACTCTGCTCTGTTCTTCGCACTCGGCCGTTTTTGGTTTTAGCTGAAAGCCAGCGGCGTCAAATTTGTAAATGCACCTGGATTTCCTCGTTTGTTCCTGCCTTTGTCTGGCCCTTTTCTTCTGTTCTCCACTGTTCTGTTCTGGGGCCCAGACAGCCCGAACAGGGCCGATATTTGTTTTTTTGATATATGTTTGTGGGCATTAGTCTGCCTCTCGTTGGAAATCCTTTGACATTGCAGCCGTTCGTCGGGGATCATCATCCATCAAAAATGATTGCCGAAAGATGCGTTTCTTGTGATTTGAATTTCAGATTCAGGCACTCAATTAGTTTAATTGCACTCCATGCACATTGACCATCTCAGCAGGTGAAACTCTATTCGGCATTGGAGTCTAGGGTTTTATTTTTCGCAATGGTTTTTCAGGATACGTTTTCTTTCAGTTGTGGGTGTTTTCTGAAAAATAGAAAGTTGTAATTAGCAGGCCTTTAGAAGTATTTCAATAAGGCAAATGCTTTACGGTGGTGTTTGGTAAATAATTAGTAAGGGGTTCTGTACCTTAAAGGAATTTAGGGACTAGGTTTTGTAAGTACAATAAAGAAGACACAAGTTATATGTTGGGAAAATAAAAAGAAACAATGCTAAAATATTTTAATTTATATACGTTTAGGGTGTTTCTAAAAAATGTTTAAATGGGTAAACTATTTTTTTTTGTTTTCCAATATAAATAACCATTATTCAAGCTTCCTAAATACTTATTGAAAGTTGTCTTATAATACTCTTTTATATCTTATGTATTCAGCTATCCATAAGTACAAAAGCTGACACTATCAAATATCTGCCAACCTGTACAAAACTCCAGAATATTTTAGTAAACTGTGTATGATATCTACGTATTACTAACCAATCTCTGACTTTCTATTAATAGCTCTAAGTAGCCTAAAAATTATATCTGCACGTGTTTTCACTCGGTGGCTACCATTCGATCTTTAAGACAACCACTGCTACACAAACTTAATATGGAAAGCTCATGTTTAGCGGCAGATAGAACAACCTGTTCGGACTATCAGAAATCACATTAATAATGTCTCCTGCCGGTGAAAATTAAACTTTTCGGATCGGACCCCTTGCTCGTATTTCAATGATAACGTTTATTAAATATTCCCCAACCGAAAAGAACGGCGATAATGTCAATCGGGCACTCTGCTTCATTTGTGGGCCTATCTAGACGGCCTTATCTAAGCCAAAGTTTCTTTTAATTAAAAGCAAGGCAACCCAAAACAAAGCCCGTCGTAGGTCTGTGAGCCAATGACCCGCATGTGCCTTGGCCAGCATCCAGACCAAGTTGAAACCGAGTCCAAGCCAAGTCCAAACCGAGCTGCTGTTGGCAGAGACAAATGCAGCAGTGCACCGACACATTATTCATGCCGTTATCAGCGGAATGGTCGCTGTCTTGGATTCGGATTCGGATTCGGATTCGGATTGGGTATGCTGCCCCGGACCACGGGAAACACTTGCGAATGCATGGTGATATGTGTGCCACGTCGCAGCCCAGTTCGATACCCAAATAATTGAGTATTCCTTTTAAATTTGAGTATATAATAAATACATCGGCAAGAACTATTAAAGTAAAGAACGAAACCTTTTATCAAAGCCGGTGGCGGGTACAAAATTTGGTTGTGGGGGGATATAAAAAATTGTTGAGTAAAAATCCAAAAAATGTGGAATAAATACATGTTACATATACTTTATAAACCGGGCGGGGGAATCTATTCCCATATCCATATTTGAAAATATTTGACAGCAATTTTTGTGACGATAAACATTTTTAGTAAGGTAATTTTAACTTCTTGCTTTCCTCACTTGATCAAAAATTGTCAGTTATTGATGATTATTGTTAAAAATTAAAATTAAATGATAATATATGTTATAGATATAACAAGGTATTAAAAATATTTTTATTTTTTGTAATTTTGAGCTTTCTACTGGACTAATAACATAAACCTAAAATTCAACTGGAAAGATTTAAGTTTAAGTCGAACGTTAACTTAGTTAAACTTGATAATATATGTTATAGATATGAAGAGAAGAATATAAAAAATGTTAATATTTTTATTAATTTAACGCTTTCTAATGTACTAATAATATAATACTTTAATTTAACTGGAAAGACTTATGTTTAAGTCAGAAGTTAAAGGCTTTGATTTATACAATTTTAAATAAATAACAAAATTTTAACATTTGACATTTTACTTAAAATTTGGTTAAGTGCATTTAGCTTGGCAATCGGCCAGAAGCTGTTGGCCAGGCTATCGGTGGATCAGCTCGCTTGGTGGAAATATTTTCCAGCTTGCCACCGAGCTTGAATCGTGCACTATTTTGGCAATTTTAATTACAGCAGCGTGGCGGGAGCGCAGGGAAAACACTTTCCCATTCGGTGGAATGCACCTGCACACGTCAGAAGCCCGGTTGATAAGGATCGGAATCGGGATCTGGAGGAAATGCCTTCACGCATTGTCCTGGCTCTGACCCCATAATTTCCGTAATCGCTTGCGTGTGCTCTGGACCTGCATTAAAACCTGTTTTCCCTTTCTACCTTATTTAATAACGGACATCAACTTTGGATTTCGAGGCGTTTCTTATCCCTAAAGGTAGCAGGTTCGGGGATCTTTCGCTTACCTGTCGCCTAGCCATCATCATCATCATCGTGATACATTGTTCCTTTCTGATCTTGGCCTTGCCATCCCCCCTCCCTAAAATGTATTAATTAAAGCAAAATATGACTCTCAAACAGGTTCCTTTGCTGCCCTGGTCCCCACGTAATTGTTTCTC